GTATGCTCATTTGGTTTCAACTCTTTCGGGCCCCTGAATTCTAAATTAAATGTATTATTTTAATATGTTTTTCCTGGGTATCTCTATCACTTCCTTGCTTTAATATGTGGATGACACCACACCTTGGACTGGGAATTCGCCAGAAGATTGGATTAATGTATATGTGGCTTATTTTCAGCGTTCTTTGTCGCCTTCCCTGTGAATTTTTGAGACCAATTTGTTGTAAAGGCTCTTATGTTTGTTTAATTATATTATTGCAAAAGATTAAACAGCATTAAACTCCAGCGGAAAGCACCAATAAGCAATTGAAAATCAAAATTATGAGAGCTTGCATCTTTCCCAAAGCAACATGCATATGTAGGGAACTGAAGCGAAACAGACAAATGCTTAGAATACTATGGATTTGGATGAAAATAACTATTGGCATTGTAACCGATTTTAATGTCAAGGAAAATTATCGAGTAAGCAACACTTTGTCTCGGAAACCTAAATACTTAGGCAATAGCAAAAGTTACGTTGGCTTGGAGCAGTGATGGATGGCATGGTTCAGGGTAAAGGAGGCAGGGTTGGACCACATCAAAGGTAGGCACAGGACACGAGTCATCTTAGGATTGTAAACGCATAAGGCGTCAAATTAGGCAAAAAGCTGATTTTCTTTCAGGTAGGAACTGCTAGTGTCATGTATCTCAGCCATGCCCCGCATAGTTTATCTAATTACTGTTATCAATTGTATACGTTGCTTCTCTCGTCTACTTATAGTTGAAAGGTATGTGTATTGCTTCTCCTTCCTTGACTAATTACTTTCATATAAGTTGTGTAATACTTCTCCTCCTACTTTTTAAATTACTTTGATTATTTATCTTGCAAATTTATGACACAAAAACTGGAAAATAATGTCATGACGCTTGGAGAGGTTATCAGGTTTTTATTCCCCAGTTTGGCCGGTGCTGTGTTGCTCTTCGTATCTCAGACGATGGATACAGATGAATGTGAAATGGAAGACAGGGTCGCTCAATATTTTTTGATGGTAAGCTGTTCTTGCAACTCAGGTTTTAGTACACATGGCACAACAGCATATGGTGCTACACGTATATTTTTATATGCCAATGTATCTCCTTTTAGGAAGACCGAGGGTCTAGTTTTGCTTTTTCACCTAAAACCCAATGTACGAGCAGCGCCAGACAGCCAAGACAGAAGAAGCCCACCAAAGCAGCACCAAATTCCACCCATAAACTGTCGTAGCGCCGACCCAGGCACCAAACTGCCAGTTATTTTTAAGACAAGCAGTTCTCTCCTTCTTTAACGCACCAACCGGCCAAACAAACCCACTCTAACCCGCCATGACAGCTCAGCAGCCAAACCTAGGAACCGGAGCGCAGAGCAGGAACGGCCAGAGCAACCCAACTAGAAGATTCCAGAACAAACCACGAGCGATAGAAAATCGACAACACAAAAAGGAAAACCTGAACTGATTATAGCCCGACAAGTAACCACAAATATAGCGGACAGGGCAGAGCGGTAATGTTTTCTGACCCTCAGCTAAAAGTGGTCACGGCTAATATTGAATTGAATTGAATTATTTTTGTTTGGGACTTCGAAACCCACACACAGATTTGGCTTTATCGTTTCTGATAACCTATTAAACTGGGTTTTTTTTTCTTCCGTTTCCTGTTGTATTTAGCTAGTGCTTTAGCTAGTTGGTCGGTTTTTACGACATACTTGTTGAAAAGCAATGGGTTCGATAGTGATGTGCTATTTTCTAAGTTATGACACAAACAAGAGAATTCCAAGTTAAATAATTGTCAGTTATAAGGTCTAATGTTTTGTGTTCCGTTACCTTAACAATGGGTAATTTTTCAATGTAAAGTTCAAGTGTTGTGCAGTTCTAGTTTTTGTAACTTTTGTCTGGTATTTATAAGCACAGATTTAGCGGGGGAGAAAACATTACATAAATTCTTAAATTTGCATCAACAAATGAATTTTAAAAAAGGTACCGTTCGTCAGAAGCCAGATAGATATTCAGGGTTCAGGAAGTAGTATAATGACAAGTGACAAGGAAAAGAGGCAAAAGTTTTTTTTTTTTTTTTAAGGCGGTATTTAATCCAGACGAATAAAAACGATAGGACAGAGCGGAGCACACTCTAGAGAATCTCAGGCTTAACACTGTCATAGACAACGATTATGAAGACTTGTTGGCTGAAATCGACATACAGGTGGCATTGCGAGGCAGCAGAAATAATGTTCCTGGGCCAGGTTGTGTACGCTATGGTCATATTAAACAGTTAGGTAGTGATGAAATACTACGGGTGGTGAGGGACTCTAATGAAATTATGCAAACGCCAAATGAAGGGTGGAATATTAACTCCTTGTCACAGATAAAAATATTTTATGTCAGACTGAAACATAAATCGAAGGGGTGGAGTACCAGATTCTTAAGCTTAAGACAGAAAACACAAATTTCCAACTAATCAACTATTACTGTCCGAACGACCGCCCTCAGGCACTCGATACAACAGTAGTAAATAGAAGAATGATTGTTTGAGGAGATTTCAACAGCCACTCCGAAATATAGGGCTATGACCACATGGAGGACTGGCAGGATAAAAGCAGATTCATCCTCATAAATAAGCCAACCGACCAACCAACCTTCTACTCAAGAACATGGCATACCACCTCTACACCAGACCTAACCTTTCATTCTTCAAACGTGGAATGGGATATAACAAGAACTGTTGGGAAACAATTAGGAGGCAGTGATCACCGCCGAGTCTTTCTAACGATAGAAAACCAGTCTGTAAGAAAGAGCAGCACTCTACCAAGATGGAATTACAAGAAGGCAGACTGTGAATTGTATCGGCACCTTACAAGTGTTTTGGTTAAAAATTTAAAAACAGATAACAATGCAGACAATGTAGTAGAAGAGTTCAGCAAATGTATATTGCAGGCAGCCTGGAAACAACACCAAGAGGAGCCCGTAAGTAATATCAACCATATAGAATTATGACCTAGTACAACTGCACAATGATACGGAAACAGAAAGAAAGAAAACCGAATCAGACCTTGTCAGGAGCTATTCATCAAATACTAACATGCAAAGGCTAAACAAATTTCAAAGAGCCAAGCTGCGAGCTAGAAGGGCATGTTGGCAAGAAAAAACAAAGTCTCCAAACTTTGGAAAAGACACAAGGAAGATGTGGAGGGTCTGTTAAAACAAATTAATGGCGAGAGTACAGGGAGAAAGGTCAATACTACAATATATCCAGAAAGAGCCATCCTAACAAAAACAAAAACAGGCGGCTGATCACTTTGCAGATTTATTTGCTGAAGACAGCAACATTGATGTCTTGTTCACAGAAACATCGAGAGGTTCGAGACACAACGATTTAATTCCCGTGTTAATGGCAGCACCACTTACATTTAGCGAATTAGAGTTAGTAATATCGAAGCTGAAAATGGGAAAGTCGCCTAAATTGATGGGGGAAAAAAGTAAAGAAATAATCAAAAACATAGGGACAACAGCCAAAACAAAACTGCTGAAGATTTTTCTAATAATTGTTGGGCAAGTGGCAAAGTTCCACAGATATGGAGAGAAACAATCATAATACCTCTCCTAAAACCACGAAAAAGACAGCACTAATGCCTGCAGTTAAAGACCAGTCAGCCTTATCATCTGTCTCTGTAAAACTATGGAACACATTGTGCGCCTTAGACTTCAATAGTACATGGAAAGTAAAAATATCTTCACACTTTAAGAGGCAGGCTTTAAAAAGTGCTCCTCCTCAGAAGACCAGACAACTTACCCCTCTCAAAAAATCGAAGATGCCTTCGAAGAATAAAAGAAACTAGTACTTGTAGCATAAATGATTTGAAGAAAGCTTTTGACAAGGTCTGGAAAGAAGGTATCATATAGAAACTGAGAAACCACAAAGAAAATGGGAATATGTACAGATGGGTGAAATCATACTTGTTTACCAGATGAGCCCGAGAACAGATAGACGGTCTCAAGAGCAAGAGAATCTTGCTGCGCCATGGTGTTCCCCAAAGTGGTGGGGGAACGTTAAAGAATCACTAATGTGATATGCAGCACATGGGAGAATTCGATTACTGACTCCATCCAATTCAGAATGAGTTCGTTTGCTTGAGGTTGGTGAGATATTTATACACTTCATCAACAGACATTAGGGGAATCTCAGAAGGAATACTTATTGTCCATTTTCTCACACATTGTGATGCTAGTTAGCATAAGTCACTGTGAGTCTGGTACTGTGGATTTTAAATGTTCTATTTCAGATTTGAAGAAGTAACTAAAATCATAGCACGTTAGAACATTCAGTATTGTTCTGTCTGAAGGTTTCTTGTGGGTTAGCGTGTTAATAGCCTTCCATATATCGACATAAGTATTGTACATTATTTCTCAGTTTATGGTAAAGTATGCGATTTTAAAACTTGTGTGCCCTATATCGTTCTCTCAAAATTTCCAGAACTCCGATAGTTGTCCACGGTGGTTTAGTTTGATGTTTTCCTCTAACTTCTTTAACTGGTACATGTTTATCAAATCCAATATAGAAAAAAAAAAGAGACTAATGTGTTTATGTAGAGTTTCTCGCACTGAACAATAAGACTGATTGATCTTTAGCATATTATCTATTTGCACCCATGATATTCTGGTCTGCTGGGTAATGAGCAGGCTGATAGATCGGCTGTTTCTTCTCCTCTGGGTGATGATTAGAAAGAGTGAAGGCTCTCTGGGATCAAGTGGAGAGTGCGACGGAACAGAGCATCTATACGATAGACTGATGAAGCGGGAGCTAGGCTAAGGGTATGGTCGGTTATCAGCGTGCATGGAGAAGATACGCATACCTTTGTATCAATCTGTAACTGGCACCTTCAGTATTTTTTTTTTGGGGGGGGGGGGGGTGGTCTACTTAGGAAGAGACAAATCCCATATTGCAATGCCCCGAGTGCCGTGATGTCAATTTTCAATTCATTCATTCATTCAGTATCTATTTAATGTTAGCTCCGTCACTTTACATTTCGGTGTGTTTTTTCTCCAGACCATATCTCCAGTTTTGATCGTCTTTGGCACTATAGGAAACCTTCTATCCATCCTAGTGATGAGCAGGAGAAAAATGAGATCTTCCAATGCAGCAGTTTATTTGATAAGCTTGGCTATTGCGGATACTGGAGCTCTCATCATTGGCTTGCTTCGTTTCTTTGTCGAGGCAAGTTAGCGGTACAAACATGTAAGCAGACTGAAGCAGTTTTCTAAAGACGTTACTGTTCAATGATGTAGATGCTTTCACATACGAAACTAGTTAAAAATTAGTATTATTTTCTACAACTATACATATATGTATAGTGATGGTCCCATAAATTGATAGACATTTTTGCACCAGACGAGCAGTGTGGTGCATAGTTTTCTCATGCTTTTTTTTTTTCAGAACTACTGCCTTGATGAACAAACACATGATCGCTAACGGCACAGGTGAACATGTGAGATAAACTTTCAGGTAGCGACGCCGGGCAGTGTCCTTCGACATTACTTGGTAAAGTAATAAGGGGCTCTTTTTAGAAACCAGGGGCTCATCTGGCAAATGACAGAAGCCTCAAGTTATTATAGACCAATTGGCACTCGGGGGGCGGGGGTGATGTGGTAAACATCCCAGGACATTACCCAGTGAACGTTGTATCGTTGACTGCCCGTTGTATCGTTGACTGCCCGTTGTATCTATGACTGCCCGTTGTATCGTTGACTGCCCGTTGTATCGTTGACTGCCCGTTGTATCGTTGACTGCCCGTTGTATCGTTGACTGCCCGTTGTATCGTTGACTGCCCGTTGTATCGTTGACTGCCCGTTGTATCGTTGACTGCCCGTTGTATCGTTGACTGCCCGTTGTATCGTTGACTGCCCGTTGTTTCTATTAAATGACAATTTCGGTTTATTTTTCAATTGACTAGCACCTACAAGTCATTAACTCAACTAAATGTGCACTACAGTTTGATTTACATTTTTTTTTTCTTCAAAAATTCGTATAATGTGATAAATAAAACCTCTCACTGTCAAAGTCTTCATTGTCCTAGGTCTGTGTACTATACATCAGAAATAATCTCTGCTTAGCATGATGACTATTGCTGGGCAAGTAAGCTCACATATGTGCATTTCTAACGTGCTGAACGATTGAAAGCCCTTAGAGTGTGCAGGCCTAGTCTGTTTTCGACAGTACAAGTAACGAAACAGTGTCCTCACCTTTAGGCGTACTGCAAGACCGATATTTATAGAAACCAATTGCACTCGGTGGGTGGTATGTTCAACATAACTCCGGCTGCCTTTACCTCTTTACCTCCCAGAACATTACCTGGTACCCAATAAGGCATAAATCGACTTGCCAGCCCTTGTCTTTTTTTTTTTAAAAGAAAGTGGTTTGGCCCGTTGTGAAGGGGAGATTTGGTATGCAGACATAAGGCTACGTAGTCATGTGTAGAAGGTAATGAATTCTTTGATAAACCTTTAAGTTTCTGCTCTACATCTATTTAAGCTTTTTTTTTTCTTCTCAGTCAGTATGTTTTAACTTCTTAGAGTATACTTGTATAATGCAATATTATTTGTTTTATTCATAGCTTGAAGGTTGCCGAGCCCATTTGCAAGATCAGATTCTGGTTGACTTTTGTGTCCCTGGACATCTCCGCATGGGTGCTAGTGGCGTTCACCATTGAACGCTTCTTGTCCGTGTGTTTCCCACACAGACTGAAGACCTTCTGCACACAGAAATCTTCGATCATCGCTGTAGTTTGTATTGCAGTGGTTATGCTTGCTCACAATAGCCATTTTCTCTATGGATATGGAGATGTAATAATAACATACGAAAACACGTCGATACTGGTTAGGTGTATTTTTGTCTCAGATAACTATTCTGATTTCTTTTACAATATTCACATATGGATTAGTTTATGTGTGAACTGTTTTATTCCTTTGGTTATTTTTATTGTGTGCAACTCTTTCATCGCCACGAAAGTACTGCTACGTAGCAGGAAGATGCACAAGATTGCCGAGGACAAGACTGCCAAATACGCCAGCCGCGAGTCGTTGGCGGTCACTGGCAGACAGGAGAGCAACTCACGACTGACAATTATGTTGTTTACTGTAACCATAGTGTTTCTGATAACAACTGCCCCTATCAGAGTATTGTTTATTTTACTACCTAGTTTGCAGTTCCAAACCTCTAAGGATTATGCGGTACTGTACCTCACTCATAAGGTTACCGTCATTTTAATGTACACAAACAACTCGGTCAACTTTATCCTCTATTGTGTCACTGGGTCAAAATTTAGGAATGAGGTGCTAAAGATGTTCAGAGAGCTATGTAATAGAATTGGCAGAATAAATCCAACAAATGACGCAGAAAATGTGTGCTCCAGAAGGCAGTCACTGATCGCAAGGCAAATTATCACAGAAGTGACTGAACTTCCACCTAAAGAAATTGTACCACTACAGATTCCTGACGACGTGTAGAGGTCATCAGCATTGCTGACAGTGTCACGCTTGATAATTGGTAGCATACTTAGTATATAAGTGTGTGAGTATGATCATAGTCATCAAAGTCTAAAATATGCGTAACATGACATAACCCTTAAACCTGTTAGGTTCCTGTAGGTCCTGTCCATTTCTTGATGTTGTCATTCCAGGTTCTTCTTTGCCCTCCTCTTCTTCAACTACCCCTCAATGTTTTTACGCGAAGTCTTTGCAATCGAATCATGTCTCACGACGTGCACAAAAAAGCTACCCTGCGACTATTGCCAAGAGGAGCTTCTCTCAAATATACGTGTGTGTAGAGATGTTATTGATAAAATCATTCAAACATATTACTAATAAAAAATTATTTAATCTATTATTATATTTTTTAAGGAAACTAATACATTTTTAAAATAGAAGAATATGTAAACCCATCAACCGAGTAAGCCATACTAATTAATTAATACAAATGTGGTTTTCTCTAGTTTTCTCTTTTAGTTTGTAAATGTGTATTTACTTATATACATGTTCTATCCTGAGCACATTCTTATAATCTTTGGTGGATAATTCAGGGGATGGCAGGGAACACACCGAAAACCCGGGACTGTCAGAGTGAACACGGGATGTTTCATTAGCCCGGGGTGGTGACGTAACGTCAATCTGACCTCATTAGCCCCACGGTTCAGGATGGAGAAGGCTGTGGGTGTGCTCACCAGGCAACTACGTCAAGCATGACCATGAAGATAACCGCTGATTCCAAAGCACGTGCATGAGCAGCAAACAGGCGATTCACACGTGTGGTAATCGTTTCATCCTCTATGAACGTGCTTTAGAACATTGCATCAGGTAGTCTTCTCCCTGAATGAACAGAAAGCATTCGGAAATCGCAGCTCACCTTTCATTCGCTGGATCTATACACAAAGTCATGCCGCAGTAAAAGGTAATGAATGAGATGACCAACTGGCGAGTGATGCGCTAATGCAGGCAGGCAAATGATAGACACAATGGATATAGTCAACCCTGTACTGTCTAGGCTGGTAGACAGTGATGAATTTATGACGCTACCACTATTGCGTGACCTGGTAATAAAGCTTGGCGAGGCACGCCTATGCCGTCTTCGAGGTCGGGATAGGATAGAGTGTAACCAACTTCTTTTAGTCAATTACACACGCATTATATATATATATATATGGTGTAATTGTACATGTATGTCTATATTTATGTGTGTGTGTGTGTGTGGTTATGTTTAGTACGTGCCGGTCCTCACCAACATAATTGGCACTAATGTTGAATGTTGAATTAAGAATCAACATCACAGCACTCGAGACATTCCTATAAGCGCTCCGTCCCCATCTTCAGCAGCAAGCAAAAAGTTAAAATTCCGATGGTACTTGAAACTGTCTGTTTGTATATCCGTCTCGCTTTTCCCTGAGTGTCGAGCGTCAGCCATATACTCTTGTAACTCTTCACAGTGCCATTCTCCTCAGACCACTGATCTATCTTTTCAAAGGGCCTTTCCAACATCCAGCTTGCCATTCACCAGTTCACTACCAAGTGGTGCAGAACCGACCAGTCTATGTGCCTGCTTATTTCCCAAAACACCGGCATTATCTGGAAAAAAATATCCAAAAGATGCTAACTACACGGAGCCTCTGAACTGATGCTTGCCACTCTGCACGGAGCATGCCTGTATCTACCTTTCTGAACATGCTCTGTGAGTAATTGGCACACAGAAACTAGACAACAATTATAACCAATATTGTTCGCAGTAGTTTGAACATGGTGGATTTTGTTGTTGTTTTGTTTTACATAAATGGACGAATGGACGATAACAATCAGAACATAGATTAGAGTGGCTGTTGCATCAAATGACTGTGCACGCATAAATGACCAACGTACAGTGGTCGTCAATTGTGGTAACGTTCTTGGTTGTTCCAGTGTAGGTTTTGGATTTTTCCGGGGGTTATCGCTTGGGTTTCGATCCTTTAGAGGAAAGGGGGAGAGTGTGTGTGTTTGCGCTCGTGCACGCGTGTGGGTGTGTATGTGTGTGTGTGTCTGTGTGTGGAAAATGGGGTGGGGTGCAAATCTTCTTGTGACTTCTTTTGTGCAGTAAAATGTATTGTTCGCTATTGAGCCTAGACATTTTTTTTTAATGTTCTCTGGCTTTAAACACCGGCTGTGAGTTCTGGTTTTTCATCCACCTCTGGACGTTAGTTTTTGTTCCATAATAGATAAATAAATGTCACAAATACAATAAATAATCCACCTCCGATTATTGACTCGTTACAAGCGACTTGGTCTTCTGTGAGGATGGAAAGCTGAACAATAAGTAATTATATGCTGAAAAAACTGCAGGAAATAAATCATTTGCTTTTTTTTAGAACCGTGTTGAGAATTCTATGACAGACAAACGACGTTAAATTATTCGCGTTTAGAATTTGTAGAAGTGCATGTATACTACAGCAATAGAAGGAAAATTTAGTTTGTTGGGTTAATAAATAGAAACTATGATGAAGAAAAATAGCCTTAAGTAGAGAAAACATAACACAAATGAGGGAGAGAAAGACATAGAGATGTTTGTAGAAAACTCTAACAGCCGGAAAACAAACGATGTCGGCAATGCTGGCTTCATCAATATACTAAATGGCAGAGCATTGAAATGCCTTTATGGTCACCTTCTGCTAGGCTAGGAGACAAAAGTGTGCCTGTTGTTTATGTTTCCGGGTGAGAAGGCTGCAAGTGTAAATTATATTTCAGTTCACAAACTTGTGAAATAAACTTGTCTTATCCAATTACTTCCTGTGTAACTTGTGCGCAACTTGTAATAATTAATTTGAGTCGAATAGTGGTTGGGAAGTACAATCTGAAGTTCTGAAAAAAAATAAGTACTTCTTGTCCTTCTAGTCTCAGACCCATCAGAACTCGATGATTCGTGTATGGTCATGTCTATCCGCTGCAACAATCAGGAAAGAAAATTGTCTACACCGTTTACAGCTCAGATCTTAAAAATATGCCGGTCCCGACGAGAAGTGAAACTGGTCATCTTCGTATTCACAAATGACAAAATGGACGCTGTGGCAAGATATCTTCATCAGCATACGATACAAATGGACAATGGCCATAATGAATAAAATCACTCAGCTTTACAGAGGGGCCTTTCACGAAATCTCCACCCATGCTTGACCAGTTGAGGTTCTGCTGTCATGTGTAGCTAAAACTGCCAAACTGTCAGTTACTGCATTTATTGTACCACTTTTGCGGTGTAGGCAGGGGGTGGTCTTTGAGCCTGCCAATTTAAGGCCGCATGCCTAATGCTGTCGTAACGGCTGTGCAGGTCAGGATTTTACAGAGGATTCGAACGCTGGTCTCTCGCTTGGGAGCCCATCGTTCTAACCGTTCGGCCAGCCGCTTCTCTCGTGTGTAGCAGGAGTAATATACTGGACAGGAAATGACCCTGAGATTTACTATTGAAAGGTGGGTGCGAGATTGCAACAAGGGTTATAAGTGTAATTTTTTGTTTCTGTTCAAACTGTTCTGGACATGAGATCATAAATGTCGAGCAATGCTTCTCACCTCGCACCCCGCCTTCCAATCAGAAGTGCATTGGCACTTCGAAACTCCGACACCATTATTTTCTTTCACGCCTTATGATCAATAACAGTCAATATGCAATGGGGGGGGGGGGGGGTTTGATTAATCCTTAAATATACTTGTTCATCATAAAATCTACTTAGTGTCTGTAGCGATCCCTGTGACCCTGTGTCCCTGTGTCTGTAGTCATGACAACTTTTTTTTTTTAAATGCGTGTAAAGAACCGCTTGTTTGACAGTTCCAGCGAACATTATTTGCTGAGCGCATGCGCTCATGTCCGAGACAGGAAGCACACCAGATAGTTGGGGCACTGTCACAAAGGGAGTGCCAGGCGGCTGTGTTTTTTAATTTTTTCGTGTAAACATAAAGTACTAAAAAGGGATTTATTTTTTAAATGAATGAATCAAGCTTGAACTGTAAAAGTGTAGTCTGTGAGTAATTAGAAATATTTGTCACGGTTGACGTGAGGGTGCCAGGATTTAGGCTTGTAGATGAGGACAATAATATCGCCTGATAGATTAGGAGGGCGAAAAGTTGCAGATAAGATACGTTCAGGGTAGCCATAAAGCCGGAAGAAATCCAGCATCTCATTCAAACCTTGCTTCGAGCCAGTGGGGAAACATGCAATGAACGTCCTACTGCCAGGTATGTTTCTCTGGGTAAAGTGAATCCCTGTCGTCATAAAGCGTTGTCAGAGGTCAATGTTGTCTGTTTAACTGCTCTCTATTCTTCATTACTCCCAGTAACTAGTTCTTTTACTCTTGTACCTAAATAATTGTAATTTTGCAAACTTCATCTTCAGTAGGTGACCGAGCCATTATTTGCTGTCTCCCCATGTACTCAATACCCTATTGCTTATTTCATCTGCTGCTTTTTTTTTTTTTTTGTCAATCAGTTTTCGTTTAGCTGATGGTTTTTCTGAGTGTAACACTTATCCTTTTAATCTTCCTGTCAAGTCATCAGTATACGGTACAAATATACACATGTATGTGAGTGTATGTGTGTGTGTGTGTGTAAATATATATATATATATATATATATATATATATATATATATATATATATATATATATATATATACACACACACTTAAAAGTTAGTTCTTGACTGGACTGGTCTAATAATCTTTAACACTGTAACAGGCTCAGGGCAGCTGTTATATAAATTTTGATTAGGCTTAAAGTGAACCAAAAAACCTGGCAAACTTGGGTCAGAAAGTGATAAAAGAGACGGGAGCCGCCTATTCGATTTCTTATGCCTCCGGTGTTCTGTGAGTAACATGCAGTTCTGATCTTCCCGTGCGTTCAGGGGTTTAACGCAATGTGGATTGATGTGTATAGGCAGAAATAGCTTTCCATCTGTTGCTAGGGTACGTTCGAACATGTTGTGGATTTTGTGCATTATTCTTT